CCATACCTTACCTGAAATTTTGCTGAGGGCCTCATGGATGTCAGTTCCAACACGTGATACAATGGGACAGAAAACCAGGAAGTAGTCACATCCTTCAGACGAGTCTACCTCAGTTTGCCCGCAATCTCTCAGCCTTTCAACAATCGACTGATGAGCTCCGTTTGTTTTTCCAGACAAGATGACAAAGAATTTATGCCCCAATCCTGAAGAAAGAAGAGGGTTATTCTCATTTTTCTGCTTATTGCATCATTTATCATATCAGTGCTTTGAGTTTCAAATGAATCTAAAAAGGAGCACTCATATTTTTCTATTTATAGCTGGTACTATTATGGAAGGTTAATCAGAAAGTAGAATTTCTGTTTTAGCTAATAACTTCTTGCTAATGCTGTAAGATCTAAACGTTTGAATAGAGCATTTTTCTCTATATAATTAGTATTATGATTATTGTAATTATTTTTAAATTTACTTCCATTTGTTGTGTCTTTTCACTTAAATACATCAGCTCCTGTTTACATAGAGATGTGAAGACTAACATGTTACATCATCAATGCTCTGCTAACTTATTATGTGGACCCACCCTCCATCTCAACCTCTTAGTTTATACTTGTCTAAAATGCAAAAAAGTTGTTGGTGCTTTTATCTACTAGATAATTACACACATTTACTTATACAGCAACTTTATATTGATGGTCCAGTTTGCAAAATGTGAATGAAACTGTCTTTCTTCTATATAGTTTCTCCTTTAACTGTTTAATGATACACAGAAACCAACTGACCTTGTGTTAGACATGTAAAAGTTGTTTTGTAAGATCATTTAAAAACTCACCAGGATTTCCTTCAGTAGTCATGTTGCTGTAGAGGGATAAGGAAATTAAGATTTTTCATCAATACATTGAAAAAATGCATAAGATTTAAAAAATAAAGAGTCCAACCATGAAAGTTTTGTCTTTGCTGCTTCAACTGACTTCCTTTTAAAACTAATCAGACTCATATCGGTACAAAAAGTCCACAGCCTAAATAAAAAAAGAAATGTTAAAAGGTGATATCTTACCCAGTTTGTTGATAGACTGATATCTATCCAGCACTGTTAAAAGAAATAAAGCTCCACACTGTTGATCCCCGAAGTGAAAGTCCAACCGAGTGTTTTAAGTCTTGTTTCAGCAGCGAGGACAAGTTGCTGCCTGCAAATTAAAACTATGCAACAATGGCAGCACCAAACATGGCTATCAGAAATACTGCTTTTCAATTTGAAGATGAATCATGATATTT